AAGCGTTAATTTATTTTAAAAAATCAAGAGGGTCATACAAAAAACAAGGATTACGTCACATGCTGATTTCAAGTCGTCATGCGCAAGATAATGGTCAGATGAAGCAATTCAATTGAATCTAATTTGTCAAGCTTGTAAGAAAAACACAACAGGCTGTGATATATCCTCTGAGGATAAACTACAGATTTAGGAATGGTTAGAAACTACAGAATATAATAACTGCTCAAACTCCATATAAAATCTTCAATGGATATATTATACAGAGGAAAAGTATGAAATATTCTAATTGATCGCCAATTATTATGATTTAACGAAAACTGTTAGGAATAAGGAAATAGATTAAGTTAAAGTTAAGCACACTATAATAAAGATGAATGGATTAATATAAAGTACAACACCGGTGATAATGCATAAGTGAAAGCTAACATTATCTCTGCAGGCTAGTCTTAAAAGTGAGAATCCCAATAGTTCTACAAAATCTATCATCACAGCTAACATCGAACTTAGAATACGGCAAGGATGTAAAATAGAGAACAAAAGCAAAATCCATGAAGTCAAAAAGTCTTCTGGAAAGTATAAAGATCCCTTGACAGATTACAGCGATGTAAAACTGAATGTTTAAGTACTTAATGTATCAAAGAAAATAATTTGAATATGTTTAAAGCATGTATCAATTTCGTTGCAAAAAAAAACATCTGCCTTTTGGCATACGAGAATGTGAAAGTGATATGAATCTGCACGGAGAAAGTTCGAAGAATACTAAGTAGGTGAATACAGGAAATATAATTTTTTGATTACAGTCAATTAAAATCAAGATTTTTCGAGTAAGTGCTTCATTTTCTGTACCCTCGCCCCTTTGTGACGTGGTGAATTGGAGATACATCCAAACACGTCACAGAGCTCTTGTCACCGGTAATAAGTGGCGAGAGTCTCGTGGGTAGCCGTCTCTCTCTCTCTCTCTCTCTCTCTTGCATGTAGCTTGTTGAAGAGTACAAAATGCCGGTATCAGGCCCGGAGGCCATAGCAGTAAGAGTATCTATAGAGCTTGGTCTGACTCCCTTTCCGTTCGTTCTATACTCGTACCTTGAGCTTGTGTGTGTACAATGGTAAGATAATGTATCTGTAAACGGCAGCTGTCGATGTGTCAGTGTCCTGGGAGCTGGCGTAGTACTGTGTTGGCTGATAGTGTGTGTTGGGCCACATAGTATACGGTGCGCCTACGCGGCGAGACAAGGACAGACACTTGAGCTCGCTGCGAGGCTGGCACCAGAGTATCACAGCGCGGGCTGAGCAGACTCTCGCCTGCCGAGTTACCGTAAGGAAGCGAAGCCGAAGCCTCAGTGCCCTACACACACACACACAAGCTAGCCTTCACACGGTTATCCAGGTTCGCCGGTGCCCTTGACGCCCGTAGCATTGCTCGGAGCATCACCGAGTATTTCATCGGAGCAATATTCTCGTACGTGAATACATATAGTGTTAGTGCTTTGTATCAAGTGCATAAAAGTGGTCGTCCCTAATTACCCTTTATGGATGCCATATAGAGTAAGCCCGAGTCATGTACCGATAGTTACCAGGTAAACGACATTACTAGATATTAATTGGTGACAACAGCAAGCCACTACTCAGGAATCGTCGCCTTTGTGGTGTGCCGCATCATAAGCGTAATCTCAATTACCGTTATCAACATAAATAGATAAGCAGTTAATAGTCAAGTGTGTCTTGTTATCGTGTCTTGTCTTGAGCGGCGCCAAGTGCAGCTGTGACAGAGTGATGCCTTCGTGTTCGATTACTAAGTGCTTCTGAATAAAGTAAAAGGCGATCCAATTGCATTGCTGTACTGCACTACCTGTTGCTGCAATCGGTGTTGCACAATACTGGCTGTACCTGGTCTTTTTCCAACCCCGTCAACTAAACGTTGCACGGCATAACGTAAATAAAAGCATTAAAGGTAAAGTAATAATCATCACACGTTAGTCGCAATCCCCGGCTAACGTGGTACATCTAATATAATATATATCCATTAATAGAAAACCTAAAAATGTCTTAATTTCTTTAATATTGAATTCCCGATAGCAACAAAAATAATATGTTCAAAATGACATATTTTCTGAAAAACTTATATATGTATGTATGAAGATACAAAAAACAAAAACAAAATTAAATTACATGAGGCGAACAAATAATAAAAGTTCCTACATTAAAAAAAAATCGGCCAATAGATACTTAAAATATGACAAAGTACTCACAAACACTCACACTTTAATTCGTAGGGTCAGGAAATATATTTACAGTACGTTATCCTGATGTGTGATTTTCTGTCCATCATGAGGCTTCTTATGTAATAGTGATAACAAAGCACTGTCAAAGCTTAATTTCTGGAAATCGTGTGTTTTAAATATAAGTTGAATTATTTCTTATTTATAAATAAGCTCACAAGTGAAGCTAAATACTGAAAGTAAAAAAAAAAAAAAAAAAACTAACACGCGACACTGGTGATTTTATTTCGGTGTTTGAAAAATAAAGTGGCATTAAATGCAAGCATAATTTTCACTGATGAAGGCCAATTTTTAAAAGTAAATGGTGTTAAAATTTGTTCAGCTCCCTTCCCGAAAGGAGAAGTAGGGTACCCTATGGTTAAAAATATTATCTCTGCATAGGTTAAAGATATTTACTATTATTGATCTAGATTGATTTACGTATTGTAACGGAAAATTATAAGAAAAATACTGTAACGAAAACTTCAACAGCTCTTGTGGAACAAGAGTATCTTATGTATAGTACTGAACAGGATACGTAGTTTTACATTTTTATTACTACGTTTCCTTCTTAATTGTTCTTGGGCACTCGTCATGAACATCCATTAATATGCACTAATTGTACACTTTTTATAAAACACTTTTTTACACAACGTCACCAGTGATACTTGAGTAAAAGGGGATCTTTTTTGCATCAAGGAGGCCGCTGCACTGGTTTACACAAATTTCAGTTTTGAATAAAAACTAAAAAAGACAACGCTGTCTTTTACCAGGGAGCACAAAGTACACAAGGTCACAAGGACCATATATGAAGAGGACCGACACATAAAAATCTTTTGTGCGAGGGCCATCAAAACCATCAGTACTGGCAGCTGTATCGACAAAAGAACATACATTGTTATCATGCGACCACACAGAGGTAGTGATGGACCAGGCTATCCCTTGTAGTAATGCATGCAGAAGGCTAGAGGAGACAATTTCAGAAAAAAAAAAACACTTACAGAATGGCTTGATATTTTTTTCCCAGCAATGGACGTGACAGGCTGCTAAGCACTGAAAATAAGGCGAGCGACGTAAGCACTGTTAGCTTTTTCAGTTACAACACCAAGGTGGATCTGGAGTACATCAGGAGGAAAAGAACGGAGCTAAATACTAAGCAATCAAAGAAGTATTTTGTTGTCACAATACTTGGGCTGGTAATTAAAAATATGGTGAAAGTGGTAACAACAACATACACAAAAATAGGGATGCCGATTGAAGAAGGCATAAAAGTAGTTTGGTACATACTGTATAAGTTCAAGGAAAACTGTAAAGCGACAAAAAATCTCCTCGAACAATCTGATAATGATTTTATAAGCAAGACGAACAGATCAGGAAAAAGGAAAAAGATTACATGCTCGATTAAATTCAGGTCTGTAAAAGTGTTCTGGCGACAAGCAGAATAGAAATCCCGAAGCTCTGACGGAGGACCCTAATCCACTTCCGAAATAAGAGAAAAGGCCAGGGAGAACTAGAAGTTTTTTTCTAAAATAATAATAGATGGCAGTGAGAGCGTCAAATAAGATGATGCTAAAAATAAGAGGAAAAAATGTTTGCTATGCTTACAGAATGGCAGAGCTTCACCGAGGTCCTAAAAAATGGGGTCCGATTTCAAGGTAGAAGAGACTGATATTACAGCAAAAGAAGTCATCACATTTAATAAAGGAGATCTCTTCCTAAAAGTTAGAGAAGTAAAGAATAGAAAGGCCCTAGTCAACAGTCTAGCCAAGACCGTTCAAGGGCTAGGATCAGTAAAAAGCAAAAAAAAGGGTCACATAAAGTCTCAAAGAACAAAAGTGGAACACCTTATATGGAACCAAGCTGCGCTGACTTACTTAAGTCAACAAAAAGGGGAAGCAACGGGAATCGATGTACCAGCAAAACAGAAGATGACCAGACAAAGAAAAGAGAAGACAACATCACTATGATGATGACACTTATTTGAAAGGTTACGTCATGTCAGCGGCCAACACTCTGTGGCCCCGGCTTAAAATTTTACTCCGAAAGTGGATCCCGAGTCAGGCATCCCAGGAGATAGGCCTTGCTAGTAAGGTGGGTTCAATCTGTATCGCCACTAAAATTATAGTAAAAAACGACATCTTAGGTAGGCTGCAAGTACCATACAGAAAGGTAGTTCGTTCTTTCTTCTATTGTGTATAAAATAATTTGGGACGACCTCAGATAAAAAAATTATAATTTTAACATAATAATAATTCAATAATAAAAGAAACACTAGTTGTAATGATAATGATAATAAAAAAAATGGTAATAGTTAGATACAATACCTTTGCTTAAAATGTACAATAGTAGTGACGACAACAGTTTATTTGTTTAATTTACTTTATCACTATTAATTCATATTATTAAAAAAAAAGGAGATTGGAAAACAAAAAATATCTGATCACACATAACTGACCAAGCAGTTATGCATTTTTCCAGATGTCAATACTGTGCAGAACTTCTGACTGACTTGATTGATTCGTAAAGCAATTAAATCAATGTATTAATTATTTATCCAACACTTTTTGTGGAGCCAACAGAATTATACAAAATTTGCATACATTATAAGTATTTATAAATATGAATAATTATACCTACCAGTTACCTATTAGTAATCAATTAGTATCTGACAGGCTTAAATTTTTAATATACTTACTAAATACAGTGAAAGAAGTTTTTACTACTAAATAACATAAAAAATCATTGATAGGAATGTCCTTTAATACACGGTTACACAAAAATTCTCATACTATTAGTTATATTTAAATATGTTGACTTCTTACGTACAATACATTAGTCATCTAAGGTTATTATTTCAACAGAGGTATCAACACATGATTTTTTCATTTTAGTTTCACTCGACTGTTTGTCTACCAACTTACGGTTTGATTTTCTAGACACTGAAATGTTTTGCGTATTCGAAATACTCACTGATTGAGGTAAAGTTGATATTCTTGGCTTCTTAATTATTTCATTAGCATATTTTTTTGTATGCTTTGTTTGTGGGATAATCTCTAAATGGGAATGTTGTTGCAGATGAGATAGCACAGAAAAAGCCTGATTTTTATCTGTATTTTCTAAGATTCTTGCTGGTTGTTGTGAGCTATAGATTTTTGATTTCGATTTTTGTACAGTGGATAACTCTTTCAATCGTTCAGAAAATGTTTCATCTACTGTGACCATCTTACCTCTTAGAGGTAATGGATAGGTACTAGTTTCTGTTTGTTCTGTAATTATATTTGGTGAGGGATTTCTGACTGATGATCTTTCCACCAAATTAATAACTTTAGAAGATAGATGAGAGCGTTGAATTTGTTTTTTAAGTTTATGCTGTAATGAAATTGTCCTTTCTTTATCTGTGCTTGTAGACCATTCGCTTGTCGACCCAACGTGTATTGATTCAGGAAAAAGACTTTGATCTCCTCTATTGTTCTTAAATGTTTTCGCAGTTATATATGTTTCGTTACATGACAATGAACCTGTAATACTCCTTTTATTAACATTAGATACAGAACGTTTCTGACTAGGCATAACTTTGACCCTTTTTGGGGAACAAATTGTCACACGTGGAATGCTGGTTTTTTCACTATCAGTATTCAAACTTTTGATGCGTTCATCGCTCAAACTATTTACAGGACTCACAATAGGCGTTATTGATATACCAGGTCTTTCTTTCATACGATCGAAATTAATTTTTGGCTTGTAGATACTTGGTTCATGAGTCACTGAATGACTGGAAATAACATTTGTATAATTCATACTTGAACTTGATACAGTTAAATTATTTTGGTATTGTTGTAAGATATTCTGGTATATTTCTACTTGATTAAAATAATTAATTGCTGTGTCCATTACATTGACTCCAAAATTTGATCCAAGCATAGAACTTAAGATGTTTGCTTCAATAAATGCACTACTTGAGTATAAATTATCCGTTAAATACTTGGGATCACATATAAGTGTAGTTTCAGATAATGACGGTTTTATTTCCATTTGATTATTTAACACCTTTGATTTATAGTTCGATGTCTGTTGGGATTTGGTAGTAACAGATGTTTGAACTTGGTTTGAAATTTCATAACTAAATATCTTTTGTGTTTGTTGTTCTTCATTAGTAGTCAATGCATCCTTTGTTGCATTGATGTTACCATTGAGGATCTATGACAGAATTTAAATTTAATTGTTATTGTTTATTATTATCAAAACAATGTATAACATATAAATAAATAAAAAAAATAAATAATTACACATACATTCAGTGGAATAAATGCATTTGTCTCATGTGGAACTCTTGCAACATTTTCAGCAGCGATTGTTTTACTTCCTCGAAGTTTTATTCGACAGAACTCTTTTGCCAAATCAAATACATTTCCCTGAATTTTTTGGTTCTGAACCATAAAGTAATAATGAGAGCGTTAATAAAAAGCATTTGGCATTGAAAAAGAAGTGTAAAAAACTGACCAGATTTCCAGTATATTGGACGTATGCATCTTCTAATATTTTTTGGACTTTTGGTAGTTCTGACACACGATACTCTGGTATATTCTTCATGTAATGGTATGTGTGGTAAATATCAAGCAGAGTATTTGTTTGATCACTTAGGGTAGTATAATGGTTTGTAGAAGATATTTTTTGTATACTTTGTATTTTTATTCTGTTTCTTAAACATTGCAGACACAGAGTCAATGCTTGGACTGATAGTTGTTCTCTTTCTTTATCTCTTAAGTATTTTCTAAAATAAAAAAAAAAAACTTGAAATACGATACCATTTACATAAAAATATAATATTAACAAAACGTACTTGTCAGCATCAGGTGACTTTCGTAATTGCATGCACACCTCAAACAACATTTTACTGTCGTTTGTTTCGTTTAAAACTTGCATTAGAAGCAAAACACACTTAGACATATGTGAAGCAAAACTTCCTGGTCTATCGATTTCATGGATCGGAATTCGCCAAATTCCCTATTAAAATAAGAAGTTCAATATAAAAAATTACAACTGTGTATTTTATACTCACATTAAAAAAGTTCGTATTTTTTCTTTCAGCAAAAAGACCTTGAATCTTCTTGTTTTGATGAAACTGACAAGTATAACTTCCTAATAAGAGCTGTTTGCATTTTAAAATGCAGCGGTTAGTTTTATTATTAAAATAAAAATATGCTAGACGATAAACAGATTTGTAGTGTTCTGGAAATCGCAAAGCACAATTTTCCAATCCTGCCACACAATACTTAATCAGTTGACATATTTCTTGATCCAATGCATACGAATCTATAAAAAATTTACCCAAATATATTAATGAATCTACACATACATGTACATAGAGTAACAAATTGAAAATATTTATGACTATGTTAACAAGCTTATTGTATCGTAAATTTTTAAAACACATTTTTTTTCAATTCTTATATAAAATTTCTAAAAAAAAGTACTCAAAATGTATAACTGCCTACAAAAAGAACAAACATATTATAGTTTTATTGTTACTGCATATAAAAATAAAAATTATGTGTGTACATATAATTTATACTATATACATATATAATATAGCTACTTGTGTGAGGCATTCAACATATACCCCCAAAACCCCCAACACCTCCCCTCAGTCCCCCACAAATAAGCTAAAATTCAACCGTTTCCACCGTTCAATTGAAATTTTTCACTTTTTCTTAAAACCCTCCCACAGCCCCCCACACAATTTGTCTTGTCCCCACACAGCTTTTCCACACCATATTTCTTATCCCCTTACAACCTTTTCTATTAAGTATAAATCACCCCTGTTTACAATATATTTATACTTAGTTGTAGAAATGATTATTCATTTTTTTTCCTCACCATCAAGGAGGAAAATAGATGGACTTTATACATAATAATGAAATATTTTATTAATGTTTTATTATGTAATAATATAAATAAATAATATACTGAAAATCGTCATATAATTATCATTAAATTATTTTCACTTACTAATAAGTATAAGGTTCTCGGTGCATTCAACATTTTTCGTTTAACTAGTATTTTAACACAATGTAACATTCATTATTTCTTACATGTAAGTATATGGTACAACTACAGATACAAATTAAAATGTTACATAATTATTAGATAATTCATAATAACCATAGAAGTATAGCCTAATTTAGTAAGTTTAAGTAAATAAATAATTATTGTTGGATTTTAATTTTATAAATCAATAAACCAAAACTTAATATTGTAATTGCAATTTATAATATTAAAAATTATAAAATTAACCAAACATTTTTAAAACAGCTATAATTTTTTTNATTACAAAATTAGACATTTTTTGTACTGAAAAATGAAAAATGAAATTTTTTTAACGACAAAGTGTCATCATAAAAAAAGTATGCATTATGTTATGTATACTTGTTAAATGACAAAATATTAATAAATAAAATTACTTTTTATTTATTGCCATAAATATTTCCAAATTATCTATAAAAATTATCGAGTTAAGTCAATCATTTATGTAAACATCTCTTTCCATACAATATTTTCTATTTCTGTATTTTCTTGTCTGTATACGTAAATAAAATCAATTATTTTTATTCTTGCATCTTAATAAAGCCACATATAATTGACTATGAGAAAATAAGGATTTTCTTAAATACAAACCTACTTTATCGAAATTTTTACCTTTAAATTTATTTATTGTCATAGCAAACACCACAAAGATTAGGAATAATTTACGATACAAAATAAAAGGTGATGTTAAGGTGTTTCTAGTGACTGAAGTTATTCTTGGAATGAAGACTCCATTTTCAATCTTTTCTTTAGTTATTATTTCTTTTTCTATATTATGCTGTAATATATCCGTAATTCGTAAGCGTATTCCATTTCACAGTCCATCTGATATACTTAAATATAACTGTCAGATTTATTAACTCCTTTATTATTCAAGTTATCTATACAATAGTAAGTTTTTATTTCTGCAGTTAATTTTTTAATAAAGAGTGACTTAAAAAATGACCCGTTTTTGCAACCTCGAGAATCGTCTTAAATTATTTATCAAATTATTGTTTATCGTTTAAACATGCACCTAGTAAATTTTTAGGAGGGGATCAGTTTTGGTTTCTTAGATATAGAAGGTAGAAGATATTGAAATATTATTAATAACCGTATAAATCAGGTTTACAGTGAGTCTCACAAAATAAAAAGTTTTTTCGCGTAGCTTACCAAACCACTATATTATTATGTTTTTTGGGTCACTGATTCCGAATCCGAGGTCAGATAACCTTCTTAACGGATGGTTCAAGGTCATTTGAAGGTCAAATCTGAATAAAATTCCCAAATCTAGAATATACTAGATTCCAACACTGATTCTCATAGCTGCAACTTTCGCAATCGCGTATTGTACATAATACTAATTTACAGTTAATTATAGATTCATCGAAAGCAAACGATTGCAATCATCACAGCTCCAGATGAACTTGATTTATAATGAATATTATATTGGTCGAGGAATGTGTCTCGTTGATTTTTTGTGTACAGGACTTAATTTTATCATTGAAATTCATTTAGTCGTCTCTTTAATTTTCTGTATACAGACCTTAATGTTATTATTCAGAATCCTTCTGAGTTAAAGTCAATAACTAGTGTTTTAGATGATTTGAGTCTCAGCTTCTCTATATCTGACTTTGAGCATAATTTTATACAGAAATGTGTATTTATTAAGATCCATAATCTTTTTTCATATGAGAGTTGATCTTATGGGCTCCTGAGATACATTATTTAAGTAATTAAAGCTAACCTGTTAAATGTGTAAATTATACTACTAATAAGTATTAACTATACATACAGGTACTGTAGTCAAAGACTTTTGTCTTTTTGTTGTTATTAACTAATCATCCTTTGCAGATTGTGCTATGACCGTGTTCAAAGAAATCCTGGCATTCAAACTTACTCTACGTTGCCAGATCTGCCCATTTATAGAAAAGGCTTAAGCTTACATAATCGATGTACATTTGGGTGTAAGAACCCATCAAAATAATTGATGTCCCTAGCAATAAACGTAGGCTCTTTTTAATGAATTATAAGTTCCTTGTTGAGTCTAATGCCCGTGTGTGCTCTGAACATTTCAATGATGTCGATTGTTGACCTTTAGTGAAACAAATATTTGAAGAAATATTACCGACGGAGCAAAAGTTTGTAAGCGATATCATGTTCGAATACTATCAGACCCAAAATAAAAATGTGGGTAGTACATTCGATATCAATACACTTGAGACTATGGCAGATGGGCCTTTTAAGTCTTTTTTCGGATTTGAAAAAAATAAATTCAATAAAATATGTGAATTCACTAAGAACTGTGAATCAAAAGATGTATTTATTCTTTTGTGTGAAATTCGTACTGCACTTTCACATGAACAATTGGCTTATCTCTTTGGATACCAAAGTATTTCATCAATTTCTAACCATTTAGAAAAAGCTAGAAATTATTTAAGTCAAAGTTTGGTTCCTTACTTCCTCAACATTCCCAATCGTAAGACCATAATAGTTAATAATACTCCATTGGAAAAAGAATTGTTCGATATACCTGAAGATAAAGGCTGTATTATTTTTGATACCACTTATCTAATAGCTCAAAAATCAAAAAACTTCGCTGGTCAAAAGCAGTTGTGGAGAGAGCAAAAGATATTGCCACTTGTTAAACCCATGGTGGAATGAACGCCAAACGGATCTATACTATTTGTCTTGGGTTCTTTTAATGCGAACCATAGCGATGCACAGATTTTGAATGATTGCTTTCAAAGATATGATGAGCTATTATCCATGCTTCATAAAAATGATGTTGTCTTAGTCGATAATGGATTTAGAGATGTAATGGACTTTTTAAGAGATGAAAAAAAGCTTAGAGCATATATACCTGGAACTAGAGAACGCGATACGTATGAAGCTAATCTAGCCAGATTCGTTACTAAGGTGCGATGGATAATTGAGCAAGTATTTGGGTGACTTAAAAAAAAAAATTCAAGTTGCTTGCTGTATCAGCTCATAATGCCACACTGTCCTATGACTTTGATTACCTGTTAATTGCTTGCACGTTACTTAATTTATTCCACAAACCAATTCTATCTGATAATAAATATGAAAATGTTGGGGATACTATAAAATCAAAATTCAATGTACCGAATAAATTGAAAGTAGTTGTCACTGATCTTAATCTTTCTCAACAAAGAGTTCCATTCAATGACACTGCTTTCACTTCTTTGGATAACGAAGAAAATAATTCGCTAATGCAGTTTCCTTAGCTTTCATTGGAGAATTTGTATGAAGTTTGCCTATGCCCTTATAAATTAAAAAATGCCATGTCATACTATGCCGAACATGTGGCCGAAGATATATTTTTAGAACAAAAATTCAATCCTAATGCAAGACATAGAATCGCAGGCTTGGATTTTTCTAAGGATGGAATTAACGTTATCGATCCACTGCTCTTGAAAGTACATATGAAATCTCGCTATAGAAGTGAAAAAAGCCATTATATTTTTGTACTTATTGATCGAGCTAAGAGAGGTGGACTGGCTATCGTCGAATATTTTTGCACATGTAAGAGTGGTTCACAGTTCCGTTGGATGCTGCAGCCACATTGCTACTATTATTTGGTACTTGGGATACGGTCAATATAATGTCATAAGGGTTCCTAACCCAGATATATTGAATGTCTCGATAACTATAAAAAAATTAATTTTTGTAGTTTATGACGTTAAAACAATATTTTGTTCTGATTATTTCCAAATGGATTATTGATTAGGCATATTGAATTTTGCACACCTGACCTCAGATGCGTTATCAGCGACTATAAAAACTTATCTGGAGGTGATTTCAAAGTTTTTTTACGATTCATTCATACTTGACCTTCAAATGACCTTGAACCGTTCGTTAAAAAGGTCATCTGACCTCGGATTCAGAATCAACGACCCAAAAAACATAATAATATAGTGGTTTGGTAAGCTACGCGAAAGCACTTTTCATTTTGTGAGACTCACTGTAAACCTGATTTATACGGTCATTAGTAATATTTCAATATCTTCTACCTCCTATATCTAAGAAACCAAAGCTGATCCCCTTGTAAGAATTTATCAGGTAAATGTTCAAACGATAAACCATGATTTGATTAACAATTTGGGACGATTCTCGAGGTTGCAAAAACGGGCTAATTTCGAGCTATTTTTGGAGTCACTCTTTATTATTTAAATAACGGGTGTACTCGATATGTAATGTAAGTATGACACTATTCATCAAACAGTTAT